AAAAAGATCTTATTTTTAATAATAATTTACTGTTGAAATTATTGTTGATTTTCCATTTCCGTCATTTGTTGTACTTTTGTTTAACTTAGATTGTCAATAAATTCTACTATGTTATTTTAAAAAAGATTTGATGGTGTATATTCGTTTGAATCTTCATCATTATTATTATCATACTCATTCAAAAAATAAAAATAAAAACAAATACTAAGACTGTAGGAGATAAAATTTTGAGACATTCCAAAATAAACGAAATTCTACTGATCTCCTTCAAATATCTGCTCTGATTAACTATTGATAATATTTTGTTTTACTTCATTATCATTTGATTAGCAATTGAAATAAGAATATCTTTCACATTCACCATCGTGGAAACAAATAAGTTAGAAAAAATATTTAAGATATATAGAAAGCTCTAAAACAAAATATTGCTTATATATTCATTGTGAATTTGTTTTTTTTTTCTCACAGAACGATCTCAATAGAAAAATTTTAAATAAAATATTATTAAACACGGTTTAGAAATTGAATTTGCAGTAAATATGAAATCGATTAACACGAACATCATTAGCAGTATGTACAGAACTACGGCCGGATTTATTCATAATAAAAGCTGAGATTCGAATATGTAGACTCCAGAAAAAAAAGTATCCATAAAAATGAATTATCGAAACCAAATTTCCATGAACAATCATTGTATACCACACTTCAAGAAATACTTTACTTAATAAAGTGTTATCTTTCTCGAAAGATTGCCGTTGTTCAACTACTTTTCAATAACAGCTTCTAGAAAGAAGACAAGAATGCATATAGAAAGAACAATCATTATTAAACGTATTATTACGTTTCGTACATGTTTATTTTGTACGCACATCGATCTTGAGATCTAATGACGTTTACAGAAACATGTTCGAATAGCTCAGTAATGATAGAGCAAAATTTCGAACATTAGTTTTGAATGTCCAGAATTTAGCCGATATACGATGAATCATCATCAAAGAATTACTTTTTCCCTTGGTTTTTGCTCCTGCCTTACATCGGACAAATTAGAGGGTGATAAGATATAAAGTTAAACAAATATTCTCACTCTTTCATCTACCTTTAGTTTATTTGATATGTATCGATTGTGTTCTACGTACATGTTTATGGAATAGTAAAGAGAAATCAAACTAACAATCAACCATGACATGATACAATGAAATGATATGGTCACCCATCTCTGCATAAGGGTATGGGTGTGTAAATGTGGGTATGATTTTGACTATTCGGATCATCTTTACACCCACACTCACGCCGTAACTGTTTTCTCATGCATACGTATGGCGCTATAAAGATTGTTATAAAAAACTATTTGATCATTAAACAGCAATTAAAAAAATGAAAAATGTGAGGGAAGAATCTTAAATTAGTCAAGGTGTAACTAGATGTTCTTATAGGATAAATCACTTCAATTTGAAACTAGAATTTATATATTATGCTCATTACATTGAAAACTCGCTGAATTTTGATCGAAATGAGATAGCGAAACGAATGTTATCTCATACGGGACGATTCATATAAAAAGAGAGACGAGCGCGAAGTGATTGTTCTCAAAATTTTGCTGAACAATACACATCTCTGTTACATATTTGAGGTTCCTCTGACGTTTTGAAAATTTATTTCAGGTTAATTATCCAATTTAGTTATTGTCGTATGATTTTATGTATATTGAATAACTATAAATTCAATATTAAAACACCTGAAAATTTCTTAGCTCTATGTATCTCGTTGATGATTATTGATTAGAATAACAGGTAGCAAGATGTAACTAAATCTAACAAAATTTTCATTATTACTTTTATACTTTTGAAGTACCTTTCCTATTAATGAAGATTTGAGAAACAAACGCGAGTTTATTATAATTATCTTGCTACACAAAACAGAAAAAAAAACAAATTTTGATAGTTTAATCACAACTTAATATGAAATCATTTACATTTGATTTCGACTGGGATATTGTCTTTGGAAGTTTCTTGAAAAAATATTTTGTACATTTGATAATGTTTTATACAATGGCTCAAATATTGCTAAATCATTGTTTGTAGTCTGTTTTTGTTCATTATTTATAATTACTTCTAATGATGTTTTAACAGACGAAAGTATAAGATGAAGATCCAGTAAAAGACTATATGTATCACGTGGACTTAAACCATTTTCATTAACTAATGATGTTTCAGAACTTTGTTTAAAAAAATCTAATGCATAACTGTTCAAATAATATGATGTATTCGTATGATCACGACAATCAATATCAACAAATGGAACAACTTTTGGTGATAGATCAAGACCATAAACAAGATCCCATGAGCTAATAATTGAATTATAATTTGACAGAAATTGTTCATGTGTAAGACCAGATAGGCCAGCAAATGGCGATATTGATGGATTTTTTATTTCTTGGGATTGATGATAATGAAGATTATATTCAAATGTTCCATTATTATAACCAGGTTTTTGAGCAAATGATATATTCGAAAAAGACAAAATTTCTTCTTGTTCATTATTTAATGAACGTAAATATTTTGTTACATTTTCTATATAACATCCATATACATCTGTAACTATTGAATTATATTTATCAACATGTTTTCGAAATTCCTTAGAAATTGTTGGTAAAAATAATTTCGAATTATATTTAGATTCTCGTCGATATACTGATAGATCTTGGTATTAACGACGTGTAATTAACCTATAAAATATATAGAATATATATTAATGATTACGTTCCTCTTTCCTACGTTCTGAGTTGGAAAATCAATTATTTTGTCTTTTATGCATACATGTACTTACAGGTGTCTTCTGGTAATATTCAAAACAAAAACTTCTGTTGATTTTGAAAAGAACGATTGTTGAGATCTCATAGTCATTTCATTTTTTAGCGAATGTAGAAGGGTGAGTGAGGCATCGTCCTACATTGGTTTTAGATATGATCAATATGGCACAGTAGAAAATTTTCGACTTCCAATCTATTTCTTCTCGTTGTCATAATAAAGAAGTATATTATTCATGTGTATCTAATTATGGACATCTTGTAGAAATAAAAGAAAGACTATTGCTTTACCTTAGTTAATTCAATATGATAAGAGGAATCGAACTGTAACATTTTTTTCACATGTACTAACTACTATTTAACGGAGATATATAAAGAAACCAAAGAGAGATGTCCATAATATTACAGTCAGTCGAGTATAGCATGCTGAAGGAACGAAACCAAAGCTTTTGACATATTGTGAGCTAAGTATCTCATAGAAGACAGCATCTAGAATGAGAATTTTCGCTCAATTCTTTGAGATATATATGTGTTCTGAAAATTTCAAATTTTTTGTGATATCTCGGAAAGTAATGAGAAACCTTATTATCAAGACATTTTCATTAACTTACCATGGCATATAAGTAAAGAGATAAGCAAATCTAGTCATAATATCAATTTCATCTTTAACTAAATGAAAATATTGAGTATCCATAAGATAGACAAGCAAAATATTTGCTGGCTAAAAATAATGTAAACGTGTTAGAAGACTAGCTAAAGCAATAAGATTACCATATTGATTAATTAAATTTAATCGATAAAGAAAATCTAATGTAAATAAACCATGAAAATGTATTTGAATATCTATCAATTGATGTTTTATAGACAATTGTGCAAGTAAAGAACATTGTAATGCAATTAACAATCGATTTATTGGATCGTTTGAATCTTTAGCATTAGGTAAATGACTAATCTTTGGTAAAGGTATATCAACAAATACAACATGACCTTGAACATCAAAACCACAACGACCAGCGCGACCTGATGATTGTCGATATTGTAATGCATCAAGATAGATTGAATCTTTAACAAAAGCAACAGTTTTTGTTGGCATATGAATGCCCAAAGCCAAAAAAAATTAGAGAACTTTTATTAATTCATATCCTAGAAGATGAAAGCAAAAGGTGTTTTACTATTGACTCCTTTGATTAACGATAATAGTAAGAATAAAATGAAGAAAAGCTTTGATTAGCTGAAAGCATTGACCATTAGAAGAGTTACTTATTAAAAGCCTATTTACAGGCCAGAGTACTGCAATTCGACCCAACCCGCAACCGGGTTCGGCGTGCAACTTTGATAAGTTGGATCGGGCGAAGTGGTGCGGATTTCTTCGGGTTATTTTTCTTAGAACTTATTTGCCTACTTTCTGTTTCTGATGTACCTTATGGACGAAAAGAGTGAAGTGCTAGTCTATTGAATGATTTCTCAGCACAATACACGATTACATGCGGAATAGATTTCTTTGTTCGCAAAAAATAAAAAATTCTTCTAGGATTGAAGTTCGTTTTTCTGACGGGTCGGGCTCGAGTTCAAAAAACTCAACCTGTGCAATACTATATTACAGGCTTATATGAAAAACCTATGAAAAACTAGAACTAAAAAAAAATCGTTTTTCTGGCTTCTATGAAAAAAGCAATACTAATAAGCTCATGTAATAGAGACAATATTTCCGAACAAAATAGAGTACATCTTTCACGGATACAAAGTCTTTTTGAATAAACTTCAAAGTATACGGCTTGGACTACTCTCATTCTAGAGAGAACATTTACCGTTTCGAGAACAGGAAAGAATTTTTCATGTTCAGAGCTTTTAAAAACTTAGAAAATGTTTTGTATACAACCGACGATTGCTTTAGTATTGAAGATCGAATATAAAATTCCTTTGTCTTATTCGAAAAAGAACGTATTTGTCTATCGAATAAAATAAAGCTCAGCTCACCAAAACGAACACGATGGAAAACAAATTTGTTTCAGGATTCGACATTATATGCAAAAATGCGTGAAATTGTACCTATATATTCATCTCGAAAAATGTCGGTTTTTTTTTAGAAATATTGACTCTGCCAACTTCTTAGGAAACTCTTTTACCTAATAAAATCTTTTCTCCGATCTCTTCTAGCTGTTATTGTTAAGGAATAAAATAAAAAGATCTTTTGTTACATACCAAGTGTTGCCGTAGAGAAAATTACTTGAACATATCGACTAGAAAAAAGTGCTTCAACAGCTACTCGACTTTTATTATTGAAACCAGCATGATGATAAGCTACAGCTCGTTGCATATATCCAATTAATCTTGGATTTTTCGATGATGCTCGTTCTAATAGAGAATCAACAAATTCTCGATCACATTCATGTCGATTTGCTAATGTACCTTCATCTAAAATACCACCTAATAATTGTTGTTCAAGATCAGAAAGTATAATTTGATTATTTTTTTCTTCGTCTAATAATCCTAATTCAGTAACATTATCTTCATCATAATTTCGTTTATTCGAAGATTCTGATACGTTTTTTTGTAGTTTTTTCAATTGTTTCTAAACGTTTCTTTTAATGATTCAATTTGATTTTTATATTTTGTTTCTCTTAATTTTTTTTCTAATTTTTCAAAATATTCAGCAACATATGTAGTCATTGTTTCACATAACATTCGATTATTCGAAAAAACAATACAAGATAGAAGATTTTTCTCCTTTAATGTTAATATAAAATCAACAATGATTAATAAATGATGTTGGTTTTGTTTCAGGATAATGAATATCTTTTGAAGAAATTGGTTTAAGAGATGTTACAATTGAATCAATAATTGTATTTTCTTTATTATCAATTAAACTATGAAACTGATTACGAACAAGTCGCGAATAATTATTATATTTAGTTTGTTCGATTATCCAATCAGGTTCAAAATAGTGTTTTAATGTTGGTATTGAATTTACTTCGACACCATTTTCTCTATCAAATGATAAAAGAATATTTATCATTGCTTGAAGGTTGTCGGAGATATGTACTGAAATTATGTATTACTTGTTAGTGAATATAAGGACTTTAGTTATTAGCCAAAAAGCATACAAGATAACGTTCTTCAAATGTGACTCCTCAATAAAACTCATACTTTACCAATCAGTAGATCCTGACGAAATTTGTAAATCTCTACACGAGTTTTTTTCCATGCATTTTCTCTTCCAAGTTATTATAGTTGTATAAAACTTTTTTATTCCATTTAGAGTATTCGTAAAATAAACGAATTATGAAATTGTGCTGAAATTTTCCAGATATTTGAAGGTTGAACAGCATTACCATTGAGTAATTTTTTTAGGTTGAAATTCTATACTTTGATTTTATCACAACTATTTTACTTGAGATAAAGCACTCAATAAAATTATAATAATTTGTAATAGACAGCACATGAGAACGAACTCTTATAGATTTCTATTAATTTCATCGAGGACTACTTGTGGGTGGCATAAAAACCCGATGAAAGAATCATACTCGACATAATTCGGTCGTTAATGGACTTATGTAGTATTTTACTATTTTCAAAGATCATTTTTCTGTATACTGAAAACAGAGAAATCTATGAAATCGGATCTGCAGAAATGTATGCGTTTCACGTCCTATAGATCATGTTATTCAGGAAGTAAAACATTTTCAAATATAAAACAGAAAAGTCTGTTAGTTTATTGATTTAAATTTATTCGAATTTCTCTTACATTGAACTCAAGAAATAAAATCATTTGAAAAAGAAAATTCTGGATCAAATAGAAGCCTACTAGAGCATTCAGATTTTACCTTTTCGATGACTACTAATATGCATAACATTGCATAAGTGACGGTCAATCACCGTTGTATGTCTAATTTAAACTCTACCTAAACACGAATACTAATACAGTAGCATCTTTTTTTAAATGAAAGAAGTTTGAGAACTTTTTTCAATACTTAATGAAGACTTACTTTCTATTAGTTGATAAGTTTTGCATAACATCATTTAATTGTAAAGTTTCGTAAAGTGATAATGAAAAATCTTTGGAAACACCTCGTGTTATTAATTGTTTTGCATTCATTAGACCAATTGGATGAATTGGATGTAATTGTAGATTTGAATATAAATATTTATTTAAATCAGCCATACGTTCATGATGAGCTATAAAACATCTTCGACATGGTTTTAATGTTTGAAATAATTTAGAACGTTGATTTTCAATATATTCAATTCAATGACGTAATTCATCTCCATTATTAATTGCTGCTGAAAGACTAATCATAGGACAATTAATAAGTAACATTGTTTTTTCCCAAACATCAGATCTAGCTTCAGCAGACATACAATGAATTTCATCAAAAATAGCATATTTTATTCTTTGACACCAACGTTAATGGTGAATTATTAAGAAGTTCTTCCATAGATTTTTTCTTTTCATTGAATACATCAACAATATTTCCAATATGAATTATTTCAGTCATTGTTGCAAAATAATCAATTTCAAGATAATCTAATTTAGATTTTTCTTTCTTAATGATTGTAAATATTTTCGTTGTAAAAAAAATTTTCTTTTAAGTAAACCAAGACGATTTATAGATATTTTAAATTTTGATAAACTTCTATCAATAATTTCAATAGCTTTTGAATAATTATCGTATAAAATATGTCTTAATAAATTTTCAACATTAACAATTTGACTACTTTCATCAACCATATATTTATCAATTTTTCGTTATTTATTTTCTTCAATAATCTTCTCAGCTTTTGTTTGATGAATTTTTTTTGTTTTTTCTTATTACTGGATGCAGAATCTGCTCTATCCATATTTGCACTATGTGTAGCCGGAAGAACAATTTGTAGTTGATTATCTTTTACATCACGGCTAGTTAATGATTTACCATACAATGTGAAATAAGTATAACTATAAAAAATAGATTTATTTACAATTAAAAAAAAACAATAATAGGAAATAAGTACTAGTTGAATGAATTCTATTGTAGGACAGAAACGAATTCAGATTTAGGTCATAGTACACAAAGGAAAATACCTAACGAAAACTATGACAGATAAGAAACATATATGAAAAACGGAAACGTGACAAAAGAATAGACGAGGAAAATAAATATAGCATATATATGGTCAGAGAATTTAATCTACCTTTCTAAATTTTTTTTTCTGCGTATGTCACTATTAGGTATACACTCAAATCGTTTGGAGCATTTTGGTCTAAATGAAGAAAAATATCCCTGTGTGTTGAACCACGTAACATAGCATTTTTCTATTTAGTAGACACTTGAAGTAGGGAATTGATACTTAAGAATATCAAAGGAAGAACTTAGACAACATGTTGAAGTCAATAAAAAAAGCATCTAAGCAGGATTAATTCATCATACTGAGTCTTATGGAGATCTTTAATTTTGAATTTAAGTTAATTTGAAACTATTATTTTGGTATATCCTAAAGCTTTACATTTTTCTATTATGTAGTGTAACAAGATCTTGAGATAACAATTGCAGATAATTTAGAATCAAAATAATATATATACCGTCATTCAACACAGTATGGTGAATTGCCACTGTATAGATGCTTTTCCGGATAATTTCAGATCATGTGATTGACATCGAGAGTCTAAAAAAAAAGCTTTTATAAATCTTGAACGAAATAACCCAACAATATTGACCTTGTGAAGATCGGAAGAGAACAATGTTTCTTCTTTACTGAACATATTAATAATCAAGGTCAATTGTAAAATAGGTTTAGAATATTGTTTTTACAATTTCAAACAAGAATTAATGTCCTTCCAAGTCTTTTCTCTGTAATGGTCAAATTCGTGAATGACTATTTTGTTTCAATCAAAAAATTCTCAAGAAATACTCACAAAACTTCTCTTTTTCTGAAATGGATAATAGTTCAAGATTAATCTAAGTTGAATTCTATTGTGTTCTATGACAGATGTGTTTGTGATCCACAAACTTAGGTAATTTCATCCATGATCTGTTTTAGAAATCATTTAAGACAAAACTCATAATGTTCGGTCTTACAATTTTTGTTGACTTTTGGTTCGATAACGATATTTATTCGAATTTCTGTATGTATTATCATTATTACGTACACGACTTATCTCATCACCAACCTAAAAATAAGAATAGATTTATAAAATAATACTTTTAAGAATTATCAAATATACCTCTTTGTATACATGCCAATGATATTTTTCTATGAAGTAAAACATATATTTTTTAAATATCTGACATATATGAAGAAAAAAAAAAGAATTATACCTTCATATTGAGCTGAAGAATTGTCATCACGATCGATAAAATCAAATGTCCATTGAGTATTTGTTGATAATATTGGTTTTAAATAATTATCAATAAATGAATTTGCTATTTTAATAAATTTTTTTTCTATCAGATATTGATGTTGAAAATATAATATGTTTTGATTGAATGAATTGTTCTACTATATTATAAAAAACTATTTTCATTTGTTGAAAATTTCAATAAAGTTAAACATTTTTTTGACAATATTCATTGTATTTGAATCAAATTTCATTTTTGTTGATGATTGTTTGAGTTGATAGAGAGTAAAAGCGAAAAGTCGTCCATCAAATATATTAACTACTTTTGAATACGATAATAATGAAGAATATAAGTATAGACATGATGTAAGATGTTCTTGAAATTGATTAATCAATTGAGAAAATATGGAATTAAATGTGTTTGAAGGAAATTTTGGTAGAAGATGACGATCAATTAATAATAAACGAATCAAAAGAACTACATGAAGAACAAGGAGTTGACTTATAATATTGAACAAAGATTCGCTGTTTGATTGATCCTAATCAAATAAAAACAGTGATAAGTTCTTCGAATAAAATATTATCATGCATTTTTCGTTTCCATTATTATTGCTTCAAGATAAAGAAAAAGTCGTACATCATCTTGATTTGTTAATTCATATATTTTCTTTTCAAATTCGATAGAATCATTGTTTTCTGACATGGAAATAATTTGATAAGATGATAATATTGATGATAATTACCAAATAAACGATAAATATAAAGAAGATTTTTTAATGCAACAGGTGATAAAAGATGATCTTTATTGATATCAAAACTTGACATATCATGATAGAATATAAAATGTGGTTTTTCTTCATAAATAAATTTAATATATTCATTATGAAGCCATGTTGAAAATTTTCGTACTTTTGATGATCTATATTTGTTACTATTTTTTGAAAGATGACTTATAAGATAAACACGAATAAGACTTAATATAGAATTTTCTTTTCTATAGATATTGATAATGACAATTAAAAAATATTAATGTATAATTTGATTGCATATCTTGATTAGTAGTTTGTTTTCTTGAACGAAAAATTTCAATTGTTGTTAAGATAGGTTTATGTATTTCAGGTATAGTAGCAGATGATAAATTTGATGGAAGTAGTCGAAGAAGTCGTTGATATTGTTTTTGATCACTAATATCATCTGATAAATGTAATGCAATTTGTTGTAAAGCTGCAGCACCAATCTTTTCATTTTCATTTTTAATACAATAAGCAAGAGTACGAAAATAAAAATCAATCACATGAGTATGATCTTATTGACAATAATATAAAACTTGAAGAAGTCATTTACATTGACTAACTGGATCGATGAGAATATTAGATTTTTTAATCGATTGAATTGTCTATATTAATCAATAGAGAAACAATATATGCTCAGATCTATCCTCAATGTCACTTTATTCGTAGTCTACGTAATTTAGAATTCCATGAAGAATCATTTAATAACAAAATGACTTCATTTCTCAAGGATGCAAATTTTCGCTTTGGAATCATAAATCTATGGTTCATATATATTTTCTTTCTCAAGTAAAAATTTCAGTTCAGATGGTTGAATATTCACATCAATATTGTTTCAAATTTGGATGAAAATTATTTAGCTACGTTGACATTTCTATTCACTATTTCCTTAATATACAAAGATATAGAAAAACAATAGAACTCTAAATAAGACCACGCGAACTTCGTTACGATACCATTTTCTCGTCGGTCTTTAACAGAGTTCGATTAGAACAAGTTCAATATCCTACAAAGATTTGGTTTTCATAGACGTTCATTATCGAGATATCGAAATTTTACTAGATTTTTCAACAAAAAATTGTAGTCGTGCTCAGATCAAATCGAAAATCAAGTTTCTAGTGCCGACTTACAACTTGATTCAAAGAAAGTCCTTAATGAGATTAATTGATTGTACAAGCTTTTGCTTATCCAGTCTTTCATTTCTGAAAACATTCAGTATTCGATATTCTCGCATGTGTAAAAGCAAAATTTATATCTCTAGAAAAGAAATATTAGATAAGCTAAAATTTGCACAATCAATTAATCTCATTAAGAACTTTCTTTGTGTCAAGTTTGACGTCGGATCCAGAAGCTTGATTTTCGATGTGATCTGAGGAAGGCTACGATTGTTTTGGTGAAGAATCTAGTAAAATTTCGATATTTCGATAATCAAGGACTAAAAGACCAAATCATTGTAGGATATTTAATAGCTCACTAAGGTCTATCGTTTGAGCATATACTTAATCAAAAAATAATTTGACATTTGAAGACGTTCACTCATGAGCTATTCATTTTTTATCTTATAGTGATGTTTTACAAGCTCATAATTTATTTTTCACTGATTCAGTGATTTTTTTAAATTAAACTCTTTTGTTTGATTCGGTTTTCAGAGAAATCATAGCCGAATTTTTTGAAAAACAAAAAATAACTCGAAACTCACATAAGTTGACTCAGTTTTTTTAAGCTGACTGCAAATCTGTTATGTCTTTTTTTTATTCAGGACCTGCTTTTTGCAATCAAAATCTATTAGAACCAGGTGAAAACATGTGGCCTATTCGAAATTCAAGTTATCTGTTTAACAAAGATTACTTCTAACAAAAACATCGGAAAGTATTCGATGTGATAGCCCTTCCTACAAACTTTCAAAATCAAGCGAAAATTCATGCTGTTTTTTTCGATTTCTCAAGACATTAAGAAAACAATGAACAATAGATTGATATAGTTTTCCGTTGAAATTATATGAATATAGAAAACCTGATATGAGCCATCTTTTCATATATGAATCATAAATTGATTGGTAGAAGCAGTGGCGTAGCCAGGGGTAGGGCCATTGGGCAATTGCCCATAGCTCCAAAAGTTATTGCCCATGGATTTATTGAGCTATGCAGTGCTTGAACAGTTATTGCCCATAGATATTTTTGAAATCATAACGGTTGCCCTTAGCTGTCCGTAACTCAAAATAGTTCGGCTGATGAATTGCCCATGACTCAAAAATTTCTGGCTACGCCACTGGGTAGAAGTGTAAATATTTGAATCCTTCAGAAAAGGCATTGTTTTGTTACGGAGCGATTTCTCATGAAATTCTATTGAGAATAATATTTATGTGCCTCTGTTCTTTTCATATATCAAAATATTAAAAAAATGTAAATTAACCTGGCCTTTTTTATGCACTTGTACTTGCGATGTTTTTTTCATCTTCATCATCAGATAATGATTCTTTTTCAGATTCACTCTCAGATTCCTCATCGGATGTTTCATTGCCAGCATTTATAGCTATTCGATTAGCAATAGCACCTTGCTATTTTTGATAATAAATTTTCCATTATTGAAGTTTTTGATCAGCTACTTTCTCAAAAATGGAAACATTGTGTACATTATTATACAGGGTGTCCCAAAAGTAAGGAAACAAAGTTTTTTTTTGATCTTTTTTCTTATAGAGCGTCAGCTAGCTCTCATATTTATACCACAGATACTAGATGACATAAGTGAAAGATCTAGCACACGAACAATATCTGAATGTAGTAGTTTGTTCAAAAGCATATAAATATAGTATTACCGAAGAAATGGAAACGTACTTGACAGTTATACTTTCCACTGGCGTAGCGTATACTACTTTGTTTTTGGTAGTATTTATATATGCACTAGTGGTGACGTCTGCAGAAACAATACGAATGGTTATCTCTTTTATCAGGTGATTCATATTTTGTTCTCTGTTTACTATCTGTTTCTTTTCTCGCAGTTCCAACTGCGTTTTTCATATTTTTTTAATCATGAGTGAAAGTTCTCGTTTGTCGACATCTGAAAGGATTGAAATTGTAAAATGGTATGCTGTGTACTAGAATGCAGGTGAAGTTGCTCGTCAGTTTCAACAATGTTACGATCGAACTTCTCCAACACGAAAGAATATTTTGAATCTCGTACGAAAATTTGATGAAACCGAAAGTGTTAAAGATGTTCCCAGATCTGGCAGACCTAGATCTGTCAGTACCGAAGAAAGCAAAGAAAGTGTTCGTGCAGCTTCTGAAGAAAGTCCTGAAACATTATTAAGAAGAGCTTCATTGGAGTTAAATCTGTCTAAAAGTCAGTCTTCAACGAATGATGAAGGAGTTGGGATTGCAGCCTTATCGTCCTCAATTACTGCATGTTCTAAACGATAATGATCCCGACAGATGCTGCGAATTTGCTGTTATCTTTCTGAAATTGGTCGCTGAAGGCTCTTCGTTCCCTGATCGAATTGTGTAGACCGATGAAGCTACTTTCAAGTTGAATGGACGCGTCAATCGACATAACTGCGCCTACTATGCTACAGAAAACCCTCATGTCGTCATTACCCAGGAGATTAATGCCCCAGGCATTATTGTATGGGCCGGAATTTGATCTGGAGGCCTTATGGGACCGTCCGTCTTTCGTGATACAGTTACTGGATGCAGCTATCTGGAAATGCTTGACGAAGAAATTGTTCCTGCTATTGAATATCAGATGAATTTAGAAAAAATATTTTATATGCACGATGGAGCTCCAGCTCCTAATAACCAATTCGTTCGAGGTTTTTTGGACAAAGCATTCCCTGATCGATGGATTGGTCGGCGTGAGCCAATAGACTGGCCAGCACGATCACCGAATTTGACACCGACCGACTTCTTTTTATGGGGTGTGGTAAAAGACCGTGTGTATGCGACAAAACTCTGAAATCTTCAAGCACTCAAAGATGCTATTATTACAGAGATGCGGAGGTTACCAATGGAATTATGCCAAAAAGCTTGTCAATCAGTACCTGAGAGACTGCAACTTTGCAAAGATTTAGAAGGTGAAAACATTGAGCAATTTTTGTGAAAATCTTCTTACTGCACAGACTTAACAAAGACATACTTTGGTATGTGTAATTATGCTGTTCTGTTGCTTTCATAAAAGTTTTGCTAGAACTCACGCATGTTACCTTATTATTGATTCTCCTATATTTGTATGCTTTTGAACTAACCACTACATTCAGATATTGCTCGTGTGCTAGATCTTTCACCTATGTCGTCTAGTATCTGTGGTATAAATATGAGAGCTAGCTGACGCTCTATAAGAAAAAAAATCGAAAAAAAACTTTGTTTCCTTACTTTTGAGACACCCTGTATGTGACTCTTCTCCAAACTTAATCAATTTTATAGATACTCGCCACTTCATGATTTTTATCAGAAAAAATCGAAATACTACTTCGTATCTTGTACTGATCTTTGGATCATTCGTACTGATACCTGCCACTTGATATGATTAAAAGACGTAGGTAAAGTTAGCACTATATTCGAGTTTTTTGTGTCCGGATCCGTTTTTTGACTTGGATTGGCTCTCTACTTGGTTGGGTTATATGCAGAATTAAATTCTGCATCGAATGGTGCCATCTTCGACTGGGATCATCGAGCAAAAAACTCACTTATCTTCGAAATACTGACTTTTTTGGGAACTTTTCCAAAAGTATTTCGCGTTCCGATTCGCTCTCTCACTTGGTTGGCTCTATATATGGTTGGGTTGAGTTCAGAATTAAATTCTGCGCCGAATGATACCAATTTCGATTAGGGTCGTCGGTCAAAAACAGTAGATGGCAGCAGCAGTGCCACGTCGAAATTTCTGATCCTCGTTCACCTTCATCTGTCGATTTTGCCCGACAACTCTAGTCGAAATTGGTATCATTCGGCGCAGAATTTAATTCTGAACTCAATCCAACCATTTGTAGAGCAAACCCAAGTGAGAGAGCGAATCGGGACGCGAAATACTTTTGGAAAACTTCCCAAAAAAGTCAGTATTTCGAAGATAAGTCAGTTTTTTGCTCGATGACCCCAGTCGAAAGTGGTACCATTCGATGCAGAATTTAATTCTGCATATAACCCGACCAAGTAGAGAGCCAACCCAAGTCAAAAAACGAATCCGGACGCAAAAAACTCGAATATGGTGCTAACTTTACCTACGTCTTGAAAAGTCGAAATACAAAATAATTCTGCATTTCTCGTCAATTATTTTAATCACAGCATGTTTCTTTATTTATTAACATTCAATTTTAATTTGATTCTCGACTAGGTTGATTGCTGAAAAGGAAGAGTTGAGAGTAGCAGATTGATTTGTATGGTAGTCATATAGGTTGATCTGTTTTCGATTGATTTACCCACATTTCACATACTAAGATGCAGTAATATCGCTCCTGATGAGCTTGATAAGACATATGGGGGTTAAGATTTTGCGGCATACCACTTTAATAGCATGTTAAATAATCATCTGAATAAATTCACAGAACTTTGTCGTATTTTCATTTAAGATATTTATTGAAAACGTTAAAGCAAGTATAAATGATGATTAAATGTAAAAAACCTCTTAAAAAAAGAAAAAACTGCGCCAAACGCTAGATCCAAATAGAGAGAAAAAATTGAACGAAACAATGAAGAATTAGAAGACTAACTACAAATAAAGCTTTCATGCTTGATTAGTAATATTATGTCATATGAAAGCGTTCTAAGATCAATTAGAATCTGTGATAGATAAGATTCTTCAAATGCTGAGAAGTCTTTTCAAAGTAAAAACGAAACAAACACCCTTCAAGATTACCGTGCATGCATATAACATCAAAAGTTTATGAAGATAAAAAGTTCGATCAGGATATAAGAAGAAATCAAATGAGAGTAAGTAATGTTTCAAGTAACCTCAGAAACGTCTCCCAACTTGTTTAACGTGCTGGTGGAATAAAACGTGTAAATTCAATGATCAATCTTTAACACAACATCACATCATTGGTGGTATAACATATGAACAGCCATAACAACATTCATGTCCAAATTTAATACTTACTTTGAGGTAGGCCACTTCAACCATTATATGGTTGAAAATCATCCAGAAACTGAATGTTCTTAACAAGTATCCCGTTCAGTACATAGTCAGTACGTAAAATTAAAGCCAAAGTTTATGACATAACTACCAATTTCCTCGTAAGCGAACATCAACAACAATCTATTCTCTCATTTATATCATTAAATGTAAAACAAAGCTTCTCTCGTTATTACCAGCAAACATATCATAACAAAAATGAATAAACCTAATAATAGTTTTATTCAAGAATATTGATCATCGACAGGCAACGATTATATGTTACTCAAATACAATAGCTCATATACTAGGTGACCATTTTTCACGAAATATCTATCCAAAAAACTTTCTTCGAGTAAAGTCTAGTGTACCATTTACCCATCGTGTATCAATTATGCCACCAGTGACTAGTTTCAAGAAATGTTTTCTTCATCTATATATCTCATCGAGAATGCAATCCGAAAGTCCTCAGGTACAGCTATATAACAGAGTCGATGACTAGTTTTAATTCTGAGGATAGCTTTGTTCAAATATACCGAACATTCCAGCACTAAATGCATCTAAGAACTATACCATCGACCGTTACATAACAACAGAATCATTTCAAGCACCAACATACTATTCATTAATATCGTTCTCATTGCCTCAACAAAGGAAGAAAACTTTCCACAATGAAGGTCTACACAAAAATTACATAGTAATAACAACGGATCCATTTGCCTTTCCCCATCTCTAAACCAAAAAATACCCAAAACCATCGTGTTACAGGATCCCATCACCAGTAAATCATCCACAGGAAAATCTCATTTAATTATTTCATTCTTCAGCAATCGAACATTGCGACACAAAAGGTTAAACATTGCATGCCTTACGAATTATCTTAAAGAAGGTTGTATTCCATTATTTTACTCTCCACCAATCCAAATTAGCAGACCCAAGGTTCAACAGTCCATGGCACACGAACGATCATAAGCAACGTCATATTCCACTATTTTCCTCTGTAGCAGCCGATCACAGTAAAACACCAGGTTAGACAGTGCCTCGCATGTGAATCAGCCTAATTAATGACCCATCTGTTTATTTCATTCCGAATCAATTCTTAATATCAGAAGACGTTATCACAACAGTGCATGGTATATCAATTATTTCAACTAAGGTCGTCTTCAATTATTTTCTTGCCAAGCGATCTTCAACATCAGACGATCTCATCAACCAGTGTATTGTATCTGAATTATCGTGAAGAACGTCGTGTTCTACTACTTCATTGTGAAGCGATCACTGGTCTCCTCAGAGGTCATCAAACACTGCATGGCATATGCATTATCCTAATTAATGACGTATTCGTTTATTTCATCGTGAATTGATCGATAATATCAAAAGACGTTATGAAACACTGCATACCATATGAATTATCCGAATAAAGATTGTGGTCAATTATTTCATTATGACATGATCACTGATATCATAAAAGCTAATCAAAAAGTGCATGCCATATGAATTTTCCCAAACAAGATAGTGATCAATTATTTCACTGTGACATAATCGCTGATATCATAAAAGCTTATCAAAAAGTGCATGTTATATGAATTTTCCGAAATAAGATGGTAGTCAATTATTTCATTGTGACGTGATCGCTAATATCAAAGAAGACAATCAACAGCTGCAAGCCATATGAATCAACCTGAGGAAGGTCGTGTTCAATTATTTCATTGTGAATCAATCACTAGTATAACAAGATGTTATGAAACAGTACATGCCAAATGAATCACTCTAAGGAATGCCGTGTTCAAAGATTTCATTGCAAAGCCATCGATAATATCTTAAGAGGTAATCACACTGTGCATGGTATATGGATTTTCCTAACCAAGGTGATGTTCATTTATTTCATTTTGAAGTAACCCCTCATATCATAAGATGTTATTAAACATTGCACGGGATATGAATTTCTGTAATCAAGGTCTCGTTCAATTACTTCAATGAGAAGCGATCGCTAATATCACAAGATGCAACCAAACAGTGTATGGCATATGAATTATCCTAAGGAACGTCGTGTTCAAATATTTCTTTGCGAAACCATTGTTAATGCCATAAGACGTTATCATACAGTGCATAGCACATGAATTGTTCTAATGAAAGGCGCATTCGTCGATTTCATTGTGAATTAATCGCTGGCATCCCAAGACGTTATCAAACAGTGCATGGCACATGAATTGTTCTAAATAAAGACGTATTCGTTGATTTCGTTGTGAATCGATCGCTAGTATCACAAGACGCTATGAAACACTGCATGCCATATGAATCAACCGGAGTAAGGTCGTGTTCAATTATTTCACTGGAACATGATCGTTGATATCATAACAGCTAATCAAAAAGCGCATGCCACATGAATTTTCCGAATAAAGATGGTAGTCAATTATTTCATTGCGACATGATCGCTAATATCATAAAAGACAATCAAAAGACGCATGCCATATGAATTTTCCTAATAAAGACCATGTTCAATTACTTCATTCTGAAG